GGGGCGGGAGGATCAGCTGTGAGGAAGTGGGCACAGTCATTAAGGGAACAGAGGAGGTTGAGATTTTCGAACCATAGGTCGTAGTTGTCAAATGTGAGCGGTACTATGGACAGTCGGGCAGGATCGGTGGAGGAGTTTGGGGCCGCGGTGGATGCGGCGGTTGGGGGAGGGTTCATAGCTGGGGATTCAAGAAGGACTTGAGCGAAAAGGTCTTCAGAGAGGGTGCAAAGTTCGTCCTCGCGATCAGCAACAAGGCGAAGTTGGGCTCGGCGTTGGGCGCGGTCGGAACGGGAGGAAGGAGGATCGATAGTGGGGGAAGTATCGGCGAATCGCCGGAGGGTGACGGCAAGGTGCCGGTTGAGGTGACGGCAAGGTGCCGGTTGAGGAGATCGGCGAGGCGCCGGCGTAGAGCGGGAAGAGAAAGGCGAGGGAGTTCAGCGTAAAGGGTCCATAACCTGTGATCAAGGGCGATGATGCCCACTCAGTTTACTGGAGGGGGCGACGACGGGCTTAAGTACTGTGGTGTGGTGTGGCTAAACGTGTCCAGGTGGCTATCGTACAGCAATTCTCGACGTTCTGCTGTCTGTTGAACGCTTCTCGACGAGCACCCGACTTGCCATTTCCCGACATTGGTGAATTCAGTTTGAGGTCTGCTTGCAAACTCCACTTCAGGGGACAAACTTTTGTCAGCCGTATCTTGCCCGCACGCGTGCAATATTGCAGCACTCTTCCTTTGCGATAAACCGCAATACACTGTTTTTAGAGAACGCGGCTCTCTTCGAACATCTCAAGACGGACGAAGAATGAGTAAAGCCAAGACTATAGCGATGGAGTTTTGACGGTGGGCAACGAATTCTGTTGGCAAATCCAGAGTCATTACATCGACCCCGCAGCTTTCCGCGGTTCTCTATTACCATGACAACTTTTTCATCTCGTTCACCGGGCCGACTTATTTCTCGGTGGCCCTGTAAATTTGTGGATCTATCGAAATGAAAAGATTTATTTGGAGACGCCTCGGTGTCCTAAGCTCTAAGCCTAGCAGAAACAATTTGCCCCCGTCCCCGTCAACCTTGTGCAAGAGTTCTCCAAGTTTGAGGACGACAAGCTCCCGAGTATATTCGCAAAAGCTCCATACGCGCAAATCCTGAATCTTGTGAAGGCGTATTTTGTCTTTATCCCCATTTTGCAAAACACATGTTGTAAGATCCGGCTTTTTCGAGAATGCCAAGCATTGCCGTGGTGAGGGCTTCGGCGGTCATCATCGCATGCTCTAGTTTGATAGCAGCATTGACGCTCGAGCATCTTACTCGTTCGGGAACGCCTTCACGGATATGGTCGCAGTTATTCGTACGAGGAGATCAGGCATGCCGCGCCCAACGCTATCATGACATCAACTCAATGAATCTCACTGAAAATGACTTTATTCCGTACCGCTGCTTCAATCACAATGATCGCCATCTCACAGTATTGGGCATGCATCTCAAAGAGTTCAACCAGTCGGTTTTGCAATTTAAGATGAATGGTATTAATCTCGTCGATTTGGATATTCATTCAGGGCACAGAACATTTGCGATCAACGCGCCCATCAACAGAACGATGGTTCGTCACAACGACTCGCAAATCTTCCAATACAAGATTGACCGGTGCAACTTTCGGATGGAATGTTCAAATTATTACGACAAAAGAAAGGACGAGCTCAACCTGTGCGTGTACACGCGCCGAAAGCTCGAAGTGATCCAGCCCTTTCTCAATTTCTATCAAGTCTTTGCAGACCGGATATTTGTCTACAATAACGAGCGAAAGCACGCCGAAACCTTCCATCCCCTTGAATCGCACCCCAAACAATTCAAGGTCATTCCGTGGTACCTCGATGAACTTCGGGACCTTAACATATCCTCGTCAGTGTACGACGAACTCGTTGCCCACAACTATCGCAACTACTCACGCGATGCACAAAAGGTTCAGACAAATGATTGTATGTACAAGAACAGGAACACCAACATGGTTCTTATGGTTGATGATGATGAATATCTCAACTTTTTGAACCGCAACTTTTATCGCCAGATTTACGAAGAAGTCAAGGACGACTATGACGACATTGTGATGTATAGAAACTTTTGCAACACGACAATCGTTGCCGAGACTCGCCTCAGCGCTGTGTTTGCAAAAAGTTCTGCCCAATGTCCAATGGACAAGCGACCGCGGCTGGAAAAGGCCTTTGTTCTACCAAAGAATTGCCGCTTGTACGAGATCCACAGATGCACGAGCAAGAACTCGTACAGTCTTCGGCATCTCAATATTTATCTCGCCCATGCTTCCTACCGATGAAGGAAAACTGACACTGTTGCAAGAAAAGGACAAGCAGAGGTTGTTATTGAACAGTAAGAAACAGAATATAATATTTTTAGTACAACACTATGCAAGCCTAGCTAGTCAGGATCAAGAAAGATCGAAAGACTGCGCTTTCCTTATCCACTTGAAATGAAGTCTATGTCACAGGCCGCATAAAGTCTTCCTGGGCCGTCTCTCTAGTAAAGCATCCTTCTATCTTTCCTGCTTTTCTCAGAGCCACAAAAAAAAACGCGGTGGCGGCATAAAAGTCTTCCGCCCCCCCTCACCCCCCCAACTCTTTCCGACCACACTCGAGCACAAAAACAACACTGCATGAGGCAAATAGGTTCATTTGCGACATCATCTCAGCTTGGTCGCAATAGCCGCGGCAGCACTTTCCCCTCCTGCAAGCAGAGCCGCTGTGGCGATATCCACAGCCTCTACTTTGACTGCGTCAACCGTAGCCGAGGCCGGGACAATGCCACACCAGAGCTTGATAGAATCGTAGATCAAAAACTGCCCCCCTATCATGCAACTAACCTGGACGACCCTTGCACCAAGACCAAGGAAGAGGCCTGCAAAGCCAGCGGTCCTCGCGACGCGGACAATTTGGGACCAAGCCGAGCCTTCGCCCTCTTCCTGGTTAATCTTGGACAAAATGGTATCGCCCGGGTGCGAGATGATGGCGGCCGTGATGCCAGCGAGCAGGCCGGCGATGCTGGAGATGGAGGCGAAGGCTTCCTCGCCCTCTATGCGCAGGACGGTGCGGACGAAGCCCTTGACGAGGGTGACGGCGAGCTCGAAACTGACAAACTGGCCCACCGTGTACGGGACCTGTTTCATGAGCATGGCCGGGAGCCCCTTGTACCAGCCGTGCAGGCCCTCGCTCTTGAGCAGCAGCGACAGCCCCGTGAAGACGCCGTTGGGAAAGGCGGAGTCGGCGACAGCGCGGATACGGATGGCCTCCATGGGGCAGAGCAAGGTGCACGCGATGCACTCTGCGAGAAAGCCGGCGGCGGCGGCGATGGTGAGCGGCGGCTTGAGGGCGTGGGTGGGGTCGGTCGAGAGCAGGACCTTGAAGACCTCGTAGAACGAGTACTTGAAAGCGCCGTGCAGGAAGTAGCCACCGGCCGTCGGGGCCAGGCCCTTGAGGAGGGTGAGCGGGCCCTCCTCCGCGACGATCTTCCGGAAGGCGTCCAGCATGCCTGTGTAGCGGCCGGACGTGGTCTGGATGCGGGTCTTGACGACGTCGATGGGGGTGCAGGCGGCGTGGGTCAGGAAGGCGCACACGCCGCCGGCGAGGAAGAACTGGAAGAAGCGGGTGGGGGTGATGGCGCGGGCGGCGTAGGCGTCGGTCAGGCGCGACGCGAAGAAGAGCGCGAGCGCGGCGAAGGCCACGGTCTGGAGGAAGCGGTCCAGGCGCGCGTGGAGCGTGTGCGAGTGCGGGAGGAGCGCGCGCGCGAGGAGGGAGAGAAGGAAGAAGAGAGGGATGAGGAGGGAGACTGGGACGGGGGATAGCGGGGAGGACGCGGCGCTCGCGGAAAAGAAAAGCACGGCCATTGTGGGGAGGAGGAGCAGCAGCAGCAACAAGGAGTACACGGGGCGCGACGAGCGCGAAGCCGGCGAGACCGGGGCGCTCGTCGGTCGGCCGAGCAGGGCAATGGTGGGAAGGTGGGGCAGGAAGAGGGAGAGGGTAGTGGGGGGGTCAGAGATGGGGGATGGGTGTGTGAGATGGGATGGATGCGGAATGGTG